CAGAACAGTGCTGATTAAGAGAAGAAGAGGCATGATTTCGCTCTGGAGAAGTACCAAGTGGCCTATAAAAAGCATCAAGAAAATATGACAAAGCTTCTTGATTGGATTGCAACTAATGACAGAGTCAAGGAGCACTGTGAAATGATTTACCTCGGAGGAATGGCTTTGGGATTGGCCGCCAGTTGTTTCTTGTGAATATAAAATAAAACGGAAAGAAAACTTTCAAGAATCTACTTTAGCCCTACAGGATTTTGGAAGGGATCGCCACCTGAGGATCACTGTCAAGGCTAGCACCTGAATGCATCCCAGTGACTGGCCTAACCAGGGATGGGTTAGAAAAGACTTTGTGTATGAAGTGGGTGGGAAGGGTAGGTTTCTTGACTCCTTGTCCAATTAGGGTATTTGAGGATGCTTAACGTCAAGGGTATCATGTGCATGCAGCCCTTTCACTTGCTCATCTAAGTGTGGGTTGCAAATGGCTCTGTTCTGGCAAAGAAATATTTATTTTTTGGTGAATATTTTTGTCCGACATACTTTTTCTATGTCGAAAAGTAGCATCGAAACAAAGACAATTTTAACAATGACCGATATGACAAAATCTACTGAGCTTTTATAGTACAAAAGAATGGTTATGAAGTTACTGTAAAAGTTTCTTTGTGTATTTTTGTTGTTCTAACGTGAGACGAACTCAAAGTCGGGCAAAATTTACTTGCTAGCGACTATGAAATATACATGGTGTCTACTTGTCGCCACCGTTTACTGGCGTAAATCACTACAATTTACGAAAAAAATCTAACATAACACTCTTACCATTTTTATTTAGGATTTTAATAGCTGTTTCGATGATCACGTTATTCTCTACCATATTCTAGTCAGAGTTGAGTTCCAGTTTATATACCTTCTCTATCTTATTTTATCAGTTGCATGACGTGACACATAAATTCAAAGATGGATCAACCTCCGAAATACCAAGAGATTGTTTTTTTCCTCTTTGAATGATATATAGGAAAACCTTCCAGGAATTTCTGTATTCAGAAAACTAAAATGTCTAGATTCATCAATGACTCCTTTGCCAGCGTAAGTCAGAGAATGTTTACAAAAGTCAATTTGATTGACAAGGTACATACTGATTTAGCGTGTTGATCTGTTGTATAAGCGACTCATCTTACATGCTAACATGGAGATTTGCTGTTCATTTTAATCGTTCGCTGGTGGAACTTGTGGGTTTAGCTATCGAGAAGACTGAAGTTGTATTTTTTAAGTCGTTCCCTTGCGTAGTTGTAAAAAGGACATTTCAAGCCACTTGCGGAGTTGCAAGTTTTCAGATGCAGAAAATGAAGTTGATCTGATTTTGTCGCGAGCCGGCATCTTCAAGACGCCGAAAGATATCGATGACTTGACAATTCGCCCCACTCGTAGATCAAATCTCGGTGTTGGGTGGAGTCGTGGTCCCAATACCAGGTGTAGGGTGCCAAAAGAAGTGTCCGGCCACAGTGAAGGTAGGGTCAATCGATGATTTGACAATTCGCCCCACTCAAAGATCAAATCTCGGTCGATTCCAAAAAACGATAGGGGAATTGGCAATTATCAGTGAGTGTTCTGCACTTACGGATAATACTCAAGGTATCTGGAAAATTCATACAACCTGGCTTCAGTAAGTACGCTACTTACCACCGCGTGCAAAATTACGCGTCCCGTCAGACTTAAGTCTCGACTGGGAATTGGTCAGTAGGCTACCAAACATCTAGACGGAGGCGGAGTTTTCTATACCAATGTCGGAACACTTTGTTGGCTTCCCATTACCGTAATGGGCTCCTGTTGACAAAAACTGTCCTGTTAGGCGGCAGGACGGCCGTACTTTTGAAGTTTTGTTCGTCTTGACATAATTTGGAAGGAATTAAAATAAGTGCACGTCTGTATTTGTTTAAAAGCGTTTTGTACTAATTGTTTTGGAAATTTTACAAAGACTTGCGTACTGCGGAAGGGCCGTAATTGTTTCAATCAAGCTCAATGTTTTTAGTTGTACAGTACGTCCATAATAACTGAGGTTTTCTTATTAGGTATGTGCACTGACTGCGAAAAAAAGTTAAGTCCTATGGAGCTGGAGGAGGTTAACTTCGGAAATGTTGCACGCACGTTTGAAAACCTTTATTTGGTAAGTGTACGTTAGTCTGCGTAGCCAGTCATCCAAAGGGAGGGAAGTCGCCTCTCCTCTCCAGTTGAGAGCCTTTTACGCTGCTGTATAAAAGTACATATACCACGCAGCATAAACGCCCACCTATTTAATACTCGTTTTTCACGGTAAATTTTGTTAAAATTCATTTCAAAGAAAGTGCATATCTTCGCTTTGGATTTGACAAAGAACAAAAAATTCTGCACCACGGAATCTAAAACACTAAGCCACACGAGCTACCTTAAGTAACATAAAACGTGCGCGCAGATCGAGCGCAGAAAAAGTTAGTGTTAATTGCAGTTGATTTAGTATACACTTCCATAAAAATTGTTTTAGTCTTATTTTGCAACAATAGAGAATAGGCTTTTGCTTTAAATATTCAGGAGGAGCATGAAGATCAAGAAGTACAATTAAGACTGACAGTCCATAGTCCAGCGACCTCTTCCTTCATACCCCCAATAACCACACCTGGGAGCCTCTATGAGCCATTGGACGTGTCATTGTCGTTTACGGAAGTGCATGGGGACAAAAAAGTAGTTGTAAAGCTTAGAGACCATCTTAATGCCTTCCTTACTGCACGCAACACCGTGGGATGAAGCTTCGGCACGAACAAAGCGTCTGCATACCAGGAGGGCCAGACAGGTCATCGATGCATGTCTTGAAGAAATCGCCCCGCAAGAAAAACATAATCTTCTAAGAATAGTCTGCGAATCCCAAAATACTAGTGAAAATATCGACCCGATACTGCTAGAGGCACTAGTTGAATGCTATAGCAATGCAGACCACTGGGGCACACGACGACAAATCTTGTCTATCATAGCTGGCAAAGTCTCTTTCAAAGACCTACAAGTGTGGATACCAGATCTCACCAGATACAGGTACAATATTGCAAGGCATCACCGTTTGCTACATGGACGAGGGACAGCTGTCACAACGACCCCATCAACAAGAATTTATGTTGCTTCAGAAAGACTAGATCACTTCTTATCCCTCATTACTAGCGCTTATGTGGTCCAAGATCTCCCTTTTGAGGAGAAGTTGTTAAAGCTGTCATCGAATGTGGAAATTAAGGTCCCAAATGTCATTAGAACAATGATTCCAGAGCAAATCGTCAGCCAATATCGAAGTCATTGTAAAGAGTCTGGCTTCAGTCCGATGAGTAGAAGTACATTATGCAGAGTATTAAAAGTGTGTTCAGCTTCTGTGCGCAAATCACTGCAAGGTCTGGACTATTTTTCAGCAGATGGAGCAAAAGCATATGATGATCTTGAAGAAATAGTACAAAAGTTGGGTGATAAGCACGGCGCCAGTCTAACGTGGGCAAAGTATCAAAGTGAAAAGCTCAAACAATCAAAACGGTATCTAGAGACGGATTACAAGGTGAGCATGAAAAGAAAAATTATTTAAATTCGGTTGCGGTTATAAATCTGTATGTTCATTTTTAGGTACACTTTACTGAAAGTTCAGCTGTCGCCGATCACTGTAGACCATTTTCCTGGTGACAAAGATTACATCTCACCTTGTGACCACGAACATAAGGAAAGGTGCGACCGCTGCGATATACTTCCTCGTGTTGTCGATGAAATTCAGTCCGCTTTAGGAAAGATCGATGATGGTGCTGAAAAAGACGAGATGAAGTTCCAAGGTGAGCAGTCAATGCAAAAAAATTAGCGTGTGGAAGGCCCATATCCTTTCGTTCTTCAAACCAAGATCAAGCTCGATTGGATGTTCTAGAAAGTCTCAATCCAACATCTGCTCCACTTGTTCTTGATTGGGCAATGAAGTTTTTACTAAAAAAGTATCGTGAGTCCCAAAATGATTGGTTCGAGAAACGTGGCATTAGCTGGCACATCACCGTAGCGATAAGAAGAAAAGATAGCACCATGCAAATGCTCAGTTTTGTCCATGTTTTCAAATAATGCTCCCAAGTCAGTGACACTGTTTTAGCAATAATCGATGACGTATTCCAGCAACTCAAGTCCACTTCACCAGAAGTACAAACAGTGTTTCTCAGACAAGGCAATGCTGGATCACTGTAGACCACTCGACCTCAGTTTTACTATCTGTCCAGCGAATAGCCACAAAGAACAACATCAATGTATGTCACGTTGATTACTCTGATCCACAAGGTGGAAAAGGCCCATGCGATCGCAAAGCAGCGGCGATCAAAAGTCACATTAAGATATATTTGAATGAAGGCCATGATGTAGAGACTGCAGAGCAGATGGTGCAAGCTATCAAGTCAGCTGGTGGAGTACCGGGAGTAAGAGTTACTTCAAGTAGTGAGCAAACCGTTGAAATGCCTTTTGAAGCTTAGTGGGAGGGAATTAGTTTCCTTAATAATTTGACATTTAGTCGAGAGGGTGTTCGAGTTTGGAGAGCGTAAAACATTGGACCTAGCAAATGGTTACCTTAGAGTGACCTTGACATTCCTACTTATTACCAGCTGCCCACGCTTAACAAAGCCACACCCACACACTGCTCTAATGTATCATTCACTGACGTTACCGTAAGACGACGAGTTTCAGCTAAAAGCAAGTCAACTAGTGATCAGATAACTGACACACCAGAGGAAACAGATTCCGACTCAGAGGAACAGACCATGTTCTTTTGTACAGAAGAGGGCTGTATTTAGTCGTACCAAAGACTTTCATCCCGTCGGAACCACCTCGATTGC